TGGCTGGCCCCCATGGCTTGAAAAATGCCGGGCACATGAACGTGCATGCCTACAATTCTGGTAAGAAGGAAGCGTGGAGGAAAATGATTGCAGCATGATTGCACCCCACTGGGGTGTATTTTCTCTCTGGGAATGCACGTGACCTCTGAAATTTTTTTTAAAAAGCCATACAGTTAAGTGGTTAAGTGTATACTTTGTAAGAAAGAAAAATAAAATACTAGGGCTGGACCCATGGCCAGATGAACGGAGCCAGATTATACATGACCAACAGCAGTTCCAATCCTGACTCTAGAGGCTTGAAAAACATGCCAGGCACATGTATGTGAGTGTCCAAAATCCCAATGGGCTGGAGAAATGGAGAAGGGATTGCAGTGTGCTTATGTCCCAGTGAGGGTGCTTTTTCACTCTCCCTCTCTCTTTGGCAAGCACATGAAAATATTTTTAAAAACAAGCTACACTTTTGCTAGAGTTCAGCTTGTATGACTTGGGCTTTGGAGGAATAACATGGGTATAGTAACTCTTTATTCTGAAGTAATGTACACTTTGCCAAGTTGTTTATTCTGCTATGCTGAAGCAATCACTCAACGGGGAGACCATAAGAAGAACCCAGACAAGGAAACGGGATTCAGAAGTGAAATCTTAAATTCTGCAATTCCGGAGTTGGGATTTCATATTATCATCTTGCTCAACCTTCACATTAAAACTAGGAAAATGAGGGAACCAGCAGTTAGCGTAATGGCTATGTCGCTGGACTCCCACGTAGTCGACCGCGGTTCGTGTCCCGGACCCGGTGGCTTAAAACTCACGCCGGGCGCGTGTGCGTGCGTGCCCAAGATCCCGAGAGGAGAATGGAGAGTAGTATGCCCTATTTCAAGGACAGAAAGTCAAGGTGGGACTAGAACTGTTTTTAACTTCTATTCTGGACTTGGTGGCTTGCTTTCTCACTTCCCCTCTCTCTATATACCACCCCCCATCCCCCGCCATCTCTCTCTGGTCAAAAACAAAACAAAACAAAAAAAACCCACTAATAATAATAAAAAATAAAATTTAAAATAAAGTATCCATCGGGCCAGCAGGTGGCATGGTGGTTAAGGCGCTGGACAATCCCAACTGGCTGACCACGGTTCAAGTCTTGGTGGGTGGCTTGCTTTCTCACTTTCCTTCTGTGTGTCTTTCTCTGGTCAGAATAAAAAAATAAATGAATAAAATTAAATAAATAATTCTCTTAAAAAAAAATCCATCCAACACACAGAAAACACATCATCTAGTGATCTCAGAGGTCCTTGTCCTCAGCCCTTTATGGGGAAATGCTTGCTCTCATTCATTGCTACTTGGCAACCATGGAAGATATTTTTTCACCATCTAAGAAGCTAAGACATGAGAGAGATGAGAGCATCCTTCCCCTCCTCAGAGAAAATCTGTGCAGAAACCTGGGATTTCTACCCCACTTGGAATGAATAAAAGAACTTGGGCCCTTTCTACCAGCTAGGCTTTTGTGGACTGAAGACAGTGAACATTTGTTATTGCCTGGTGAGGGCAAGGTCTGGTATTGGTTGAGATAGGAATGGACACCTGTCTCTCCAAACTGCTTCTAGTAAAGCCTTAAAGCCCCCCTTCCCCCAGCAGCTTCGCAGACTGTATCAACAACAAGGAGAGTTATGGAGAGCACTGCTCTTGCCAGAGCCCAGCTAAGGTGTTTCATTGTCACACCTGTATCTGAACCAGAAGTCCCTCTACCAGTGACAGAAAAACTCTGCAAGTTAGGGCCAGCAGGTGCGTAGTGGTGAAGGAGCTGGGCTCCCACATGGCCAACTGTGGTCTGAGTCCCAGACCTGACTGCTTGAAACTCTAGCTGGGCATGAGTATGCACATGCCCAAAATCCCAGGAAGAGAATGGAGAAGGGAATGCAGTATGTCCATCCACTGGGGCATGATTTCTCACCTTCTCTCTCACTGTCTCCAGTGAGCGCTTGCACCCTATGGAAAAACCTTAAAAAAGAAAAACCTTGCAAGCAGGTGACAGCACCTGTGGGTCACGGTACAGCGGGTAGAGGTGAAGTGCACACTTTTGGGGTGGTTTCTTTCCTAACTTGTCCAGGCAGCCAGTCCTCAGGTACTTCATTCACTGAAGTTAAATGCACGCTTTCTCTCTGGAGCTTCCGCGGCGCTGTTTGTCCTTCTCACACTGATTGACTGACTTGATTGACTTTACCTTACCTTCTCCAATCATCCATTTAACTTCCCACTTCTTAATTTATTTAATTTTATTCATTCATCATTTATTTCCATCTGACCAGAGGGAGATATCAAGACATATATCGAGAGACAGAGACAGAGAGAGAGTGAAAAAGCAAGCCGCCAGGTCCAGGACGTGAACGGCCACACTGCAATCCCTTCTCTGGTCTCTTCTTGGGATCTCGGGCACACATACGCACACATCCACCAAGTTTGAAGCCACCGGGTCTGGGACTCAAACCACAGTCAACTATGTGGGAGTTCAGGAATGTAACCATTACACCACCAGCTGGTTCCTTCGTTGTTTTAAAATTTTTTTATTTGTGGCCGCAGGTGGTGTGGTGGTTAAAGCACTGGACTCCCACATGGCTGATCATAGTTGGGAGTCCTGGACCTGGTGGCTTGGTTTCTTTCTTTCTCTGTCTCTCTCTGGTCAAGTTAAAACATGATGATGATAATGAATAAAGTTAAATAATAAATAATAACGCTTTATAAAACTTTTTAAGTTTATTAATTTAAAAATGTGATGAGAGAAAGCAAGCTCCAGGTCTGGAAATCAAACCATGGTTGGCCATGTGAGCCCAGCGCCCCCACCATCACGCCGCCTTCCAGCCCCACTTGATTGGTATTTGAACTGTGTTCCCTTTCGGCCGAAGTCGAGGCCCCTGCTGGCTATACTACTGGCCTTGGCAGAGGGGCTGTGGGATCTAACTGCAACACTTTAATCCACAGGTCTCCTTCGTTAGCAAGATGTGTCCTTGGTCAGTCTTTCGAGAACTAGAGATGTGATCTAGTCCCACACCACTCTAGTTGAGGAATTCCTTCTCCAGAACACCCTGCTGAATGCCTGAATCCACTCAAGAAAAGCAGTTCACCACCTGGAGCTCGCTGACTCTTCCTGTTCACTGGGGAGAGCGCCATGCAAACCATGGCTGAACCTTAACAAGTTCCTACTGAGTCGCCAATGAGTCCCGGACCGGCTTTGGAACTCCCCAAGCCCCCAAATTTCCTTATATTGGTCCAGATTCTGGGTGGAAAGTTCTTGACCTCATCACCTGCCTTACTCTATTCCCCGGGGCCCTTTCGTCACCTACACACTGGATGTCACCACAGCAGACTAGCTCTTGTGTCTCCTGTTCCCCTGGTCCTTGACACTGTGCATGTCACAGGGCAGGTGCTTATAATATAAATGTGGTTATTTTAAAGAGCAGCGTGTCCAGACAGCGTCCCTGGCAGCAAAGCGAGCTGAACTAACATCTCTTCCTAGTGTGCTTGTGTCTAACTAGGCAGAGTGCGACTATTCTAAGTGCAGAGGAAAACCAAGAGTGTCCTGACAGAATACTCCCAGGACTTGCTCCACACATCTCAGGAAGATTCAGGGGTAGCAAGTTTAGGAATAAACAACTGTTCTGCCCAAGACGTAGGGTTTCTGAATCTGTATTCTACCTCAGGTTCCAAGCAAGAACAAAACAAAGAATCAAACTGATCACAGTCAAGTCCCAGCAAGAACTTCTCTGCTTTGATTTTGCCGTCTTGTTTGGCTTTGCCTGGACAGAAGCCAAAGACAGAGACAGGATTTCAGCAGAAGAAATGTATCATGAGATTTTTTTCCTTATGTTTGTAATTTCTAAAGGTCCATGTTTTTCAATACCCTCATTTTAGAGGTGAAAATTTGAGATCTGTAAAGGGGCAGGAGATCATACCGAGTGGCAAAGCCACTGAGGAGTAGGGAGTAACTGAAAGGCCCCTAGAAGAGACAGAGCAGCCACGTCCCTGAGTGCAGAGCAGGTAGGGGTGGAAGTCCTGGTCCAGGACGGTGCTTAGCGCAGCGACCTAGGAAATTCCTCCACTGCCCACGGCCAAGGCGGCGGGGCCCAATGGGGTGAAGAGCTTCCGCGATGTCTCAGAAAAGCAACTGCCCTGTTAGCTCTCACTACTGCCGAAGTGCCAGTCGAGAGCCCACCGGCACTCCTGGCAACCTCACGGTGCCCAGGAAGTGTGTGATCACTGTGGCTGATGACTGTCAAGAATACTGGACACCAGGAACCAAAAGACCAGCTTCCTGGCATGGAAAAGATAGCCCGAATCTGGCATAACTGACTGAAAGTACGGTTCAGACACACGCTTCAGGCTCCCTGTCATTATGTCAGCTATTTCTCTGGGATCTTTAGCTTTTTAAGCTGGGGCTGAGAACATTGCTCCTAATTTTTTAGCCAGGACCTTGGCAAAGGTTTCCAGCAGTTTAAATGCTAGTAAATGTCTGAATGTTTTGAATCAAGCCAGTAAAAGAACTACTCTGCATAAGCTTTAAGGTCAGATTTCATGTTCACCCAACATCCAACAGAATGATTTAGACTTGATCTAGAAAACGAGGCAGGCAGTCTGATTACCTGCTTGAGGGACAGGCAGCTACACAGGCCCGTGAGCCACCTCAGCTGCCTCTGAGAGGGGAGCAGTGACCCGGCCACCACCCTGCTGTTGAGGAACCGAGGCAAGGCTCCAGGGAAACGTGCCTGTGCGTCGTGAGGGGCTCCAAGCTCTGGAGGCCCTTCCCTTGCTCCTGCCTCTGCCTGGAGACACAACCGTCACCCTGCAGTACCAGGGTGACAGGGTGACCAGAGGTCACTCCAGTCTTGCTTCCCAACCTCTGCACACTAATGTTACACAACTTCTGCTTTGTAGGATCTTTGGAAAATGGGGATGGCGGACTCCTTTCCAGGTCAGCTGGGCTTCAGAATGTGGCA